TCCGGGCTCGCCGGGGCTTTGGTCCAGCACTCATTCAGGTACTTAACACCCTGGAGACCCGGACCAGGGCTTTCAAAGAATCCCGGGTGGGAAGGGCTGTTTATATAGACAGGGATTCCGCTGTAAGAGCGCTAATATCTTGGCAGCCTGCGCATGGCGTGCGCCTCTCACGCCCACCAGTAGGAGCGGCGTCCCCGGCCGCCCCTCCATTCCCAGCTTGCCCTGCCCCCACCTCCTTCCTCTCCTCGGCCATGGCCACCACTGGACGCCTCAGCTTCACCGTGCGCAGGCTCCTGGATTTACCCGAGCAGGACGCCCAGCACCTGCGGAGGCGGGAGCCGGAGCTACGCGCCCCTGGGCCAGGCCCCTGCGCCACCTGGCTGGAATCCGAACGCGGCCACTACGCGTGTGAGTGAGCGGAGGATGGTAGGGGTGGAGAGGACGCGCAGAACCAAAAGCCCGGCCCATGAGGGGATGAATTTCCTCAGTGCTGAAACCCGAGGCTCTGTCCTCCTCAAACCCTATGCCACGCGTCTCCCAGTTGGCACATTCTGAGAGCATATTTCAGCGCCTGGCACTAACGCCAGAGATTTGGGTTTCTGTTCCAAGGCTTAGAATATTTAAGGCATTTTAAGGTCCTTAAAATGCCTGAAAACACGGCCATGCTCTTCAGGCTTCGGTGTGGAATGGGCAGCATTGGCGAGCTTGCAAACCTCGGCAAACCAGTGCAATCGACCTGGAGGTGGCCTGTGTTGGTTAGTCAGCTTTTGGTAAATTCGTCTGCCAGCGGAATTAAAACAGTGCAGACTTGTTTTAAGAGGGCCCAGGGATGGGTTTCTCTGGGAGCTCGGTCTCAGGTTGTGGTATAAAAGGTCACTGAATTAGGAGAGGTGAGTGTCCAGAGGTGAGCCCAGGGAAGGAAGTGGTCTCACTCTCAAAGCCGCGGGCGAGTGGGACGCCCTCCGACCAGTGGCTCGGCGCCCGCGCGCGAGTAACTGCTGGCACTCAGAGGGTGCCGGCGTCTCACCCGGCCGTGTCTCCTTTGCCTTCCCTAGCCTCAGACGAGAGCAGCCCAGAGGCCAGCCCGCCCGATTTGTCCCAGCGGCCGCCGGCCCAGCCTGCGTCTCCGGGTTCGGACGCCGAGAAGAGGAAGAAGCGGCGGGTGCTATTCTCCAAGGCGCAGACGCTGGAGTTGGAGCGGCGCTTCCGGCAGCAGCGCTACCTGTCGGCTCCGGAGCGCGAGCAGCTGGCACGCTTGCTGCGGCTCACGCCCACGCAGGTCAAAATCTGGTTCCAGAACCACCGCTACAAGCTGAAGCGAGCGCGCGTGCCGGGGACCCGGGAATCGCCCGACTTAACAGCCGCCGCTGAGCTGCGCGCTGCGCCGGGCCTGCTGCGCCGAGTGGTGGTGCCCGTGCTGGTGCGCGACGGGCAGCCGTGTGGCGGCAGTGGCGAAGTGGGCACGGCTGCCAGCCAGAACAAAAACGGCGCTCCCACAGCCGCCGCCTGCCCTCTCCCCGGCTACACCACCTTCGGCCCCGGCTCGGCACTCGGCCTCTTCCCCGCTTACCAGCACTTAGCGCCCCCCGCCCTGGTCTCTTGGAATTGGTGAGGGCGCTGCTGGGCGCGGGCACTGGGACTACCCTGGACTTTGCAGTGCGCCCTGCGGCCAGAGTAGGGCTGGAGCCGGGACCTAGAGCGCGCCCCGGGCCCCACCTCACTGCGGGCCCAAAGTCCTTTGGCGCCGGGGTCCCCTACCCGGCTCTCGCCAGTCATCGCACAGGGAACTTTCGCCAAGATTCCCCCCTCCCCCCACCCTCGCCTCGTTCCCTTGACCGCCAGTCCCAGAGCTAGTTATTATTGCTTGAACCTTATTTGTATATTTTTAAATAGCTGTTTGTATAGGAAGCAACTTATTTTAAAAGAAATAGAATATTTTTCCTCTTTGTGGTGGCGAATTAAATGTGTACGGTTGGGTCCTCTTGCGCGCCTGCTAGGAATGTAGGTGGGAGCTGTGCTTTTCTTTAAGCAGCTAAGTTATGACCCACAGTAGTTGAGTGAAAGTCTCTAAAGGGCTTTAGGAAAATACGGGGTCGGGGGTGGGGGGGGCTGCTGTGGAGGACAGGAAGGAAGCAGAAGCAACCCTGGGGTTCCTGTTAGCTGAAGGTGGCTCTGGCTCGGAAGGGACGCGGAGGCCCCCCTGGGCTCCTGGAACTGCTGGTATTTCAAACACCAAGTCAGCCCAGCCAGCCATGCCACAACAGGGCATGAGCTCGTCTTTAAGGATTCTCGGGAGACTTGCTAGCCGGGCTGGGCTGAGCATACTGAGTCTGGGCAGCCTCCGCTTGGCTGAAGCCATCCGTTTCCGGAGTGCAGCAGCCTCAGGCTTAGGGACCCAAAGAGCAGCAGGAGAACTTGTAACCCTCAATTAAGCTTTCAAGTGCCTCACCCGGCAGCTGTAATTTCCTGCCTTTTCTTGGCGCCACACCTGGCCGATGGGGAATGACCCACCTTAGCTGAGGGAGGACCAATTTGGAGAGCCTTGGTGGCCCGACATAAGGTGTGGGATATGCTAGTGGTTCGCATTTCATCCGTGGCCCCAATGCATACTAAGCTGGGGGATCTACTGTTCCATCCCTCGGTAACTGCTCTTCCTCTAGGTGTCCAGAGCCTCAAGGCCTCCTATGCAGTTGTCACTCTCTTCAGGGGAAGTGAGGACCTCTCTCCTTGACACCTACTGGAGATGAGCCTTAGGAGAGGAGTTTCTGGCTAGATCCAGGGAAGGGAGCAAGGTCTCAGTGAGGCGTATGAAGAGTAGGCATTGGGCCTGTTTGGGTCCCCAGCTTTCTCTTTCCAGGAAGAGGAGGAGCAGGAGAAGGAGAAGGAAGAGGAATGGAGGCTGAGGCAGTGTTATCACCTGGGATTTGGGGGGATAGAGGGAGAGGGGACAATGAGAGAAGGATGTGGGGTGTTAGGGTCTCAGCTGCTGGCCACCTTGCCTTCCATATGGATGCGGTTATCTTAGAAGAATCTCTATCTTTAAACCTCCTTTTGTCTTGGGAACTGAAAAGGGCATTGTCAGGTCTGAAAAGGACCTAGACAAAATCCGCACTGTTTCTATTCAGGGCTCTGTTTAATCAGTCCCTGGTGACAATGTAGTGGGTGTTAGGGAGGACAATAGTATCTTTTTAAACCTTGTGGCCTTCAGGAAGACAAAAGACTTGAATTTTATGGGCTTACAACTTCAATTAGAGCAGTGCCAGTGTGCATGGGAGATTATCAAATTTGTATCATAAAACCTCTTTCTAATAAATGATTACTGGGGAGGGAGCCTGGACATTGTAAGACATATTTTGGAAACTGCCCTGGGGGCTTCCTAGTTAGCTCTGGCAGAGCAGATGGGAAAGAAAAGCAGGAAAGGATTTCTGAAGAAGGCCCAGGTTGGGACTTGTCACTGTGGTCAGCTGGCTGGGTGCTTGGTTCTTCCAAGCTCTTCCTTCTGAAGGGGTGTTTTCTTCAAGAATGGAGGTAAAGATTCATAGCTTGTTTTCTGTTATTGGTGGTGACAAAGTCTTGAATGTTCTTGGGAAGAAAGTGCAAAAATCACCATTTGTTCGGTTTCTTGCCTTTTCTTTTTCTGGAGAAAGTAGGTCTGGGATGTGTGAAGTAGAGCAAGTCTATTAAATAATGAGACCCATAGGACTAAGCAGTCTTGTCTATGGAGAGATGCTCTTTCCAGGAGGCTCTTTGGGAGAGCATGTCCTCAACCAAATTTGTCCAGAGGTCTAAGCATTTACCTGCTTCCCAACAAGGTGGTCAGAGCCATAGCAGGATGCTCACCAGCAAGGCAGCCTGTGACCTGGGCAGGAGGAGGGCAGAAATTTCCTATACCGTTAGCATCAGGAGCCATCAGGTATAAACTGTTACCTGCTTTCTTTTTCTCCTTTTCCTTTAGGCCCTTTCCTTTAGAGAAGAAAAGCCGTAGTGAGAGTTCTAAATGAGAATTAAAAATGCACTCTCATCACCACTGACCCATTTTAGGGACTCCTTCTGTCATTTTTCTTCTGTTTCCACTTATGATAAGCTGGAAAAGATAACTGTCAATTTCCTTTCTGACCTAAAGGATCAGTTTTTCCAGGCTCTGACAAGGGAAGCTAAACCTAAGGCCTCTCTACTAGCAGCTGTGAGAACAGTTAGGGTCTCCCTCCCTAGATGAGAGTATTTCAAACCTGTCACCCATCACCAACATCACAAAGCAGATTCACACTCAACAGACTTTTCTTGAAACTTACTGTGCTCCATGCATTGTTCTAGGTACTTTCACAGTTGATCTCACAGAAACTTTATGCACTGTATATGTAATACCCCCATTTTACAGATTAAAAAAACTGAGGCTCAACACGTAGAAATAAGTGGCTTGTCCAGAGCAGTTGTAAACCTTATAGAATGTTACTATTGTCCTCAGCTTAACCCACATTTAAGCCACCCTGAAAACTGCCTTTGAGGAAGATAATTGTAGTCTTAATGTGGTGGCAATATATACATTACCCAACCATCATTCCTCAACCACCTTATGGACAGTATGGAAGGATGAGAGAGCATGCCAAAAGCACTCTACACAGTTCAGGGCCACTCACAGAAGCAGGTCACGTGATATCACAGTCGCTGCTAACATTCTAAATTTTTCCTGTGGAACAGGCAATATTCTAAGTTCTTTTACTCACATTAACTTATTCAATCTTCACAACAACTGCATGAGATGATATTACTATTCCTACTTTACAGATGAGGAAACTGAAGGCCAAAGAGGTTATAAGTGACTTGTCTATGGTCATACAGCTAATAAGTGACAGAGAGGATATACGTGAAGCCATACAGTCTAGCCCCAGATCTCATACCTTTAACTACATGGCAGTCCTGGTTAGTTTACAGATGCTTCTGTAAGAGACATGTTTGTAGCATCTTTCTGGCTCTCTGTGCCTCTCACCCTCCCTCCCCCTCTACCAAACCTCAGCTCTTGGACACAGCCATTGTGTTTCCCCTATGTCTGTTTGTGTGCATTCTTGTCCAGCTGTCAATGAAATGTAGCTCTTGTCTGCAGGTCACAATATTTTCCCATGACTATCATTCCACCATTCTTCTTCCAGATAAACAAACATCTGCTGCTGCTGTCTTGGCACCAATTGTCCACTCAGGGTTTGGTTTGCTGCTGACTCAGATAAGCTCCCCTAAGCTTTCCCAACCCTCAGGCCTGAATCCCCAGGGAGCTTTATGACTTTGGCTTCCCTAGCCCTTTCCCCAGTCATCTTATTCCTTTCTAGGTCTCCACTGTTATCTTTATTGTTTAATATCATTCTCTTCACATTTTCTCTCTCTTCTTCCATTATAAACATTTTCACTTCATCTCACTTAAGTCTCTTGTGGGTGGAGATTGCAATTTTCATTTCAATTGTCTTTCCTCATTGTTAGGGGATCTTATATCTTAGCACGTCTCTTGTCTGACCAGTTTAGCAGTTAAGAATCTTAAATAATGTGCTACTGATGGGTTCGAAAGAAGTTGTTTGAACCCAGGTTAAGCTACACCTTCCTTCTAACAGTGGTGTATAGCTGTTTATTGTTCCCTTGCCTTGTTTACACAATTAATTTGCCTCTTCAACACACACACACACACGCACGCACGCACACACACACACATTCACACACTTCGCTACCTTTAAAACATTTTAGACTTAGAAATAAAATGACCAAGTAAGATAATTGTGGGCTTGGTATGGTTAAATCGTTAACCATGTTTGTCTGTTCTAGGTGTGTCAGTTAACCAGCCTAGGCAGGTTATCTGCAAACATGAACAACAGACAGTCAAAGGAACTTCTGGAATGCAGCGAAAGTGCTGTAACTATCCCAGGGCACTATCATTTCTATGCATGTGATTGTATCACTTAGTATTCAAAATCTGTATGAGAAATTGTATCCCTCCAGGTCACTCATCATTTTTCCAAGCCATGATGTGAGAGGAGATTTACTAAATGGTATCTTGATTGTTTCAGAATTCCAATTCTGCACCTGTTCACTCCCCTCCAAACCCCAAACCAGACTAATAACTAAAGGTATGTAATATTCTCCTTTCTCCTGTATACCCACCATTTGTGGTATTCAGTCCATAAGAAATGAACAGTATTTCCTCCAATTCTGATTCACAGAGTGGTGGTTTAACCAGGAAGAACTGACTAGGCTATTAAACAATCACACATCTACCCCATATTTCCAAGCACAGGGCTTCTCATTTTTTTCTAAACATGTCCAATGGAGAGTTTTTTATTGTTTCTCCAGAAAAGTAACATCACATTTTAGAGGTAGAGGATCATTTTCTCTTCAACGTCCTGCCTTATGGACCAATAAAAATCTCTAGGCCTTTATCGAGGCCACGTAATTTCCCAAGCTGCTGTAGTTTCACTATAGCTTTCGTTAGGAGGGTGTAATGGAAAGAATATCTGACAGAATCTGGTCATGCTTAATTTCCTTCTGCATTCTGACTGGGTGGTCCTTTATGAGACAACAGGTTTTCAAATGCATTTTCCCCAGCTAAAAGCTCTGAATTGGATTGTCCCTTTT